AGTTATCAGTGGCACACGCGAAAAGTAACAGACTTTTCGAAACTATACGCCACCAAATATGTACAGACGAAAAATAATCATGATCTCATATTTCATCGGCAGCGTAAATCATCCAATGCGGAACGTTTTTTTCTTCAATTAGTGTAACTGTATACACATTCCCGTTTTACGTGATTTTCACTCCCATTTGACGTGATTTTCAATGACACATTCAAGGTTGTGCAAAATAGTTGAATGCATAGTTGCGAGAATAATAGTACCAGTCTACTGTAATTAGTTTGGAGGGCAGAGACAGAAACTGAAGACATTTTGCAATGCGGCAAAGCATAGCACACGCACAATATATATCAGATTGTGCGAGAATTCTGTCACATCATGCGTCTGATTAAATCTGGGAGTCGTTGAAAAATGAAATCGGTGCTGATATTCTTTAAAGAAATATCAATAATACATTGCATATAGTCATGAAGCCCTTTTGTTAGAAAAATGATATTTTAGATGATCCGATGCCCGTAATTGTGGATATTAAACAATGATTAACTGCAAATTACTTTGAAATAATAGTTACTATTAATCGTCGGTATTTGTATTATGGATACACCTATTTCCTAATATTTTGGAGATTAAAATTTCAAATGCAATAGAAATGTTTATGATAACTGACAAAGAGCACTGGACAGCTGTTTCGTCCTGTTTGGGACTCGTCAGCAGTGCGTACTTTTTGTGTCTCTGTCAGGACTCGAACCGCGATCAGTCGGGTCAGGACTTGAAACCCTGACCCCTGGGCTACACGGTCGACGGTCATCACCTTGTGCGAATAGCTCAATCAAGCTTGGATTACTCCCATTCGATTATTCAGAGGTACTAGGCACTCTTGATGGACTTGGGTGTGGGTTTCCTCCTTGGGAGATCGTTAATTCCCCAAAAGGTAAACGCATTCGAATTCTGACGAGTCCCAAACCAGAACATAACAGGTGACTAGAAAAGTTGTCTATAATTGCCAAATAAGAAACAAAATTCTGAGGATATTTGTTTCGGATTGCTGAATCGAAGAATGCCCATAGTCTAGTTTCGTTTGATTTCTCTCAACCCGTGTTCAATGTGTTTATTTGGAAAAGAAAATGATCATAATGTTTAGTCAATAAACAGAGAGAGCACTAAATGATGGAGGTCAGTAAATGGCGAGAATAGAAATTACATTTACCCGTAAGCTATCGGAACATGCTTGACCTATAAGTGTATGCCACCCATTCACTCAGATAGCAGGTTGTGCTGATTATTTCTCCATATTTGTCCAACTGTCGCAAATTGTGATCAAAGGCATATGAATACCAAAACGCTGTGATGTTTCTATTCCACCAATGTTCTACCCGCGCGTATCAAAGGAATGGCATTCGACGCGTGAACGATTCCGTGGCAGACGACAGCAAGCACGGAAGTTTATTTTAAGGCATCGGAGCTTGATATTCACACCGGTGACTATAACTGAACAAAACAATACTTTTATTAGCATAGTGGTTAGGATGTATGCAAGACTCATGGCGACTCAGAGCTAACTGCACGGTTGTGACACAGGAGTAATTTAACACGGAACAAGTAGCGTAAACAAATCCCGGTACTTAGTTTGTGTTGATTCCATGTCTAATTTAATCTTGAAACTATCAGGACCCTCTGTGGGATTTTAACCCCCGCGTGAACCCCGTCTACTCCTTCTGATAGTGTGTAATTTACAAACAAAACTAAGAAGTCACGTGATTTCACTAAAGTCATTTTATTCAATCAACTATCGGGACTGGTTGATGAAGTTAATAATCTTGCAATTCCGGTTCGGAGTCTGTTGGAGGGCGTTTGTGAGCATCATTTGGTGAACTTTGACTGTGAAGGTCCTGAGTTCATGTGAACCAAGTACTGACTTACTGCGTGAGTTACAGCAATGGGATTGTGAACATATTAAGTAATTTCTCCTGGCCACAGAACAATGCCATATGACTAGCGATATTTTATATTCTTAAGTTGGCTAAGGCTAAGTTGGAGAATCTATTCAGAATGGTTTATAAGCCGATCTTATAATATTTGAAACCCAAACGCACCACAAAACCAGACCTAAAGAAACGGGACAGATGATGAGAGACCATAACAAACGGTATATGTCTGATTGGATAGTCAATGCAAACCTTTTTGAAGCTTTTTTGTAGGAAAGAATCAAAGGGTTTTTAATTTGTGTGACAAATAGAACAAACCAAAGATGTGATTATTTGCGAATTCTCTTTAAACAATTGCCCTTTGGGTGGCTATTTATCACCTGGTGGATAAAACATGGATGAAGTGTTGGACTGTGTAGCGTTTGCCAATTTGATAGACTTCTGGCATGATTGCGACATTTGGCTGTCGGTGAAGAGTCGGGTGCATGCTGCATTAATTCGATCCGGATGTTCTACAAATGCATATTAATTCTGAAACAGCCGTCTATCTGCTTGTTTCGAATTATCCAAAGAAGGTTTGAAACATTCATGATCTTCAGTTACTTTGAGGTGTGGTTGAATGATGGAAATAACAGTGTTGAACATTTCAGGCTAACTTTTTTATTCATGTATTTCAGTTGTATTTTTGTAAATCATTTTATCCCAAATATCTGATTAAAATGAAATAATTCTAATTATTATATATTTTAGGGATAAACGTATAATGTGATGAGCATTTATCATAAAATCGTAGTTTAAGTGTAAAAGTGTATTTCCCAAGTGTATTTCTCCCAAAAACATCTTCCGCGAAGATGTCCTCGATTTTCTATGGGTTTGAGGGGAGGGGGTGGGATGAGATTTTCACTAATTATTGGTAGTCTTTGACTAAACTAATCACTAGCACGAAGCTCATTTTAATGAACCGAAGAACACGGATTCCAAACCCACTGAATGACTAGACCAAGTGCACCCGGGTCACAAAGTCCATCAACCTAACTGTGCAATACGATAGATTGGATGCCTTAACTTCTCAATACCGGGTCTTGGATTCATCTGAGAAAACATACATGACCCGCTGCCTTGCAGGTAGAACTTTTGTCGGACAAGGTCTCAGACTGTAAAGTCTAATAGCAGTCACCAGCACTGATATACGCTATCAGCAACTGTTTTTATTTCCTGATGCACAGTGTGTTGTCATATTGCTTGTTTCACTCTAGAAGTTATTTGTATAATTTTTATAAAGTTGACTATTGAGCTCCCTTAGGTTTGCAAAGTTGCTGGTATACTAATATGTGCGGTACATTAAATGAACCCACATTGATAGAAGAAATAAATGAATAATGCACCATCACTCGGCAAGAATGGATAATTGTTCAGTTACGCTTACCATACTTTCGATCACCATCCAAAATGCTTTGTATTTCGTTTCCCAAATTTACATTCTCATAGGCATATTATCTCATCTTACTTTTCACGAAATACAGTTCTTCAACAAAGCCACCCTCATCACTTGCCTTTCGGCATTTTACCCAGTCCGACCACGTCGACAAATTATTTACCCACCAAAGGAGGTTCTGGGCGAGAAAGGTCCGGAAGATAGTTTGCTTGAATCTTCCAATGCCGCTCCGGCCATCTTTATCTCAACAGCTAAACTGCTGACCGAGCCGCGAGTCCTGATCAATGCACGTATCATTGTGGTGGGTGCATCCACTACGGGTTTGGCTGTGTTAGAGACTCTGGCCGGATGGTGAGTATTGCTGGTCAAACAGTGTTGTATCCTATCAAAAACCCATTTGTTTCCAATTAACTAAGCACCATTCCTGGACTAATCACCTGGAAATGATAGCCTTTTTAAATATATTTTTATATTTGTGGATAAAAATTACATTTAGTTATGTTTATTGCATTTTGATTTATTGAGCCTAGTGATCATCACTGATACAATATTCATACAGAATAAGTTGAAGATAGCTTTTTTCATGTGATGTAGAACCAGAATATAAGCAACTGATCAAAAACAGGCCCCAAATTAGAATCAACAATGAGTGAAAAAAGTAAGGCTAAATTTCAAATTCAAATTATACTTAACTCCCTAATTAAAAACACGTACACGTCCATCACGTGCATCGTGTTTCAGGGTTTCAAACCTGGGTTACGTACAGGATACACGCAACCGAATAGTTCTGATGAGAGCGAGAGTTTAGTCTGAGCTTTGCTGAATGCACTGTTAAGAGGACGAACTGAGGATTGCACATGAATGCGAAAGTTGAAAGATGATTAATTAAATGTATAAAATATAAACGAATCGATCAATCCGTATTTTTCTTCATAAACAAGGATTGTCCGGATGCAAGTCTACTAATGCTGGCCATTGTGCGGGTAAAGGTAGGTAAATTTTCTTAAGAAATTGAAAACTGAAGCTTTTGGTGAGTGAACATCTTACACAGAACGCAGTGAAAGGATATGTTCACCTACTTCGCTTTCCTTCATTTTGTTGGAGGGAGCACCGTTAATATCTTTACACCTCAGTTACACTGTGGACCGTGTAGCTCAAGGGTATATGCATTTTATCATCATCCTTTTTGTTATTTTTTAACATGACATTTCGATTGAACAGTGATTGTGTAGTAGCTGAATGTTCATCCTCTATGGAGCGAATTAAAGCCGCTTCTTTACTTGACTTGACTTCGCTTGAAGGTTGAGGGTTTGAAATCCTAACCCGAATGTTTGCGCTTAGAGTTCTGACAGGGACACAAATATACGCATTGCTGTCGAGTCCTAAACAGGACGAAACAACTGTCCAGTATTCTCGGTCGGTAATCACAAATATTTCCATCGTGTACAATTGAAAAATCTTTACAGACAAAAGTCCGCCGAGCAATCATAAAACCATAACCGTGATTGCATTATTCATCTCGTAATTGGTGAGGGGTGACGTGACTATTGTTTCATTTGATAGGCTATGTACAGAAAAGAAGCTGTGCTATTCAACTGGTCATTTGCATGGTCACGTGATCGAATGAACAGGGAAAGAAAAAGCTTCCATTCAGTGTGATTGACTTACAGGTTGCACGTATTCATGATATGTGACAGGTGAATTGTGAAAAAGTGCATTATCGGCAAAACACAAAGGCGTACGGCATATGTCGTTTTCCCACCAACACCGCCCCCGTCCTGCATCTAAGTATCATGGGAATTCATACGGAACATTGAATGCAAATAGTGGCACATCAATCAGAATGAGACACAAACATTGTCATCATTATTTGTTACCATTGAATCATTCATTATTTTTGAGGTAAGTTAGTATGGCCTAGTTCGTTTTGAACAATAATTTGCATTGCTAGATGTGACCAGACAATTGACATCCGTGGAACTAATTTTTTATCCCAAAGTTTCTTCCTTGTAGATTATATTGGTAATAACTGTTGAGGATGGTATAGTCCACTTGAAGTGTCACTATATCACTGATAGATATCATTCCTATATAATTATTCCTTTTTAATATCACGATACGAATGAGGTGGAATTTTGATTAGAATGCAGAAGTAGAGATCTGCATCTGTTGATCAAGTATAACACGAGTTAAAGCACTGTATTGAAAACGTTTTGTACGCGCCTTAACTTACTTGCCTATTTTTCAGTTCGTATATCAGCTTCTCCAACTTGGTACTGCTCTCTGAGCACGGATTACCTGGCGATACCCTGGAACAGCCAGACAAAGATGCAGAGAAGTTTCTAACGAGCGAGTAAGTGCTGTTTTTCAGTTCACAAACAATCCAATTGTGTCCTTATTAGACCAACAACCTGGAACTTTCCAAAATAGAGAGAGGATAATCCCATATTACTGAAATTCAGTGAAATAGTTAGTTATCGTTCTAGGAGCCCCATTTTTGTGGCATCTCAATAGGGATACTATAATGAGTCGAAGGAGCTGCATCTCGAGGCAAAACGTTGTGGGAAATTTCATCTAAAAGCAGACTTGTCTATCATTCACTTAATGACTGATAGGGTTTTGAACTATATATGCAAAGGACGCTGTATTTCATGTTACTGAAATGCCCCGCATTTTTCATTGCTATGCGAGATTGTTTTCTGGTATGCTTCAACTCTGAGCGGAATAGATCACCTGAGATCACATTCCACAGCATTTCAGAGCAGACGGTAACCGGTTTTTGTTGTGAGAAAATGATATGTTTTCTCGGTTTCCTTTTCTCTTCCCCGTCCCCTACTAGTTGTACAGTTTTCCAACTGTCTAATAACAATCGCAGTACAAGTGAGAATATGTGCACCAATAAATCAGTCTCTGTCTGTGTGATGTGAACTATCTTCGAACAAAATAAAGGAGACAGCACACCAGCACACACTTGGGAACTAGATCGAATAACCAAGTAACAGTGTTGCATAAACTTAATATTAACAGCGGTGTTTTGTTGTACTAAATTACACGGTTGGAAAACTTCGCACCCTACTCAACTGAGAACAAATCACGCACAAGTTCATCGAACCGTGCACACAATACCCAAAGTGCACTCACAGCGGCTGACTTCCTTGAACGCTGCGCATATCATTTGAGCCCCATTCACATGGAAGCAACAAGCATTCGGTACCCACATAATGTCTGTTCAAAATGACTGTGAGAGTGAACAAGTTTTCAGTGGTCAGAGAACAATGGTCCTTTCTGATGCGTTATCTAAACACAACCTATGAGTCTCTTAGAAATCTGCCTTCAAGTGAGATGTTTGCAGAACTGTTCCTCTGGATGTTAAGTATCATTCTGCACACAGTTCGTTCAACCGCCAGCTCACCAAGAGCTTCATGAATGAATGCAAAAGCTTATGGGTAGCAAAAAGGTAAATGGCGGCCACGACTTTTTCTATCTCACTAGGAGCACTGACCAATGGAAAGCAAGCACCATTAAGCTAATTTGGGAATCAGACGGCACAATGATTAATCATGAACATCATCATCGTGAGCAACAGGCAGATACAGTTAAAAATGGCCTCGATCAATATTGGATTTGCTGAATCCTGCTTCATGTGAACATTTGTTGCCAGCTGATTTCTAACCTACTACCAAAGGGTAGTTTACTGGAAAAATAACTTACTTTGTAAATTAGAAACGCTTTTCAGTCGGATAATTTGTTTCCAATAGCTTTTCCCAATGCAGTTTAAGTCTTGATCTCAAGGTTAACAAACACCCTGAATCCGATATGAGCAAATAAATAGGGTCTAACTGGATGGTGAGTTAAACAACTTACAAAAGTTATGACGGATCTTTTGAGAGAATGACACAAACCTACTTTGATCAGCATCGTCTCTAAGCTTCTTACGGGGATGGGACTTCATTGGTTGTCTGCCCCGTGTGAAAGGTCTACACGTGAGAACCCTCGCGGATTTTAGACCTGGTCCAGGTTGTGTCGATCTTATTTTCATTCTTCGCCAAATAATGAAACTCGGAAATTACTATCGTAGATTTTGTTTCTTTTTCTTAAGCTAATTGCTGTCATTGACTAAATCAACTGCTCTATATGCTGTCGTTGCCTCTCTCTCTGGAGGGCGCGTCCGGGGAGGGTATTTCAGTGATATTATTCCTGTATACCAATAGCTGAAGCTGAGTTTGAGATTTGGGCTATCTTTCGCTAGAGTCTGCCACCGAAAGTGATGTTCTATAAGATCCTCTTGAGGCATATCATGCACTATTTATTAATGAGCTAAACATTAGTCCGGGAACATTAGGTAAATATTTGAGCGCTACTCTTAACAATCTCTTTGCTGAGCCTGACGAAATAGACTTTTCCTTTCAAAATTAAAAATACTTTTTTTGTGTACCATCCGCCTGCAGATCTAATTTATTCCACCGCTCTGGATACAACTGATCCAACCTGTCTACATTTTACTGAAATGTCTCTGCCTCCCCGGCGAATTTTTCTGGTCAATTACAAAATTGTATTCGTGTGCAATTCAGTTTACTCCGACATTTACCCATAGGTCTGAGTTCAAATATATCTTAGATGATCCCCACACAGTAATCCATGACACACAAAACTCTGTCATTAGCTTGCTCATACGATACTGCTTTGGTTATGTCACCTTCTAACTTTTGCGTTCTCCAACTGTACTCCTATTTCTTGACCTTGGATTCAAGTGTCATTACCCTGAAGCAAGTAAAAGCATATAACTACTCCACTTTTCCTTATCTTGGCTATTTCCCATCCACAAAGACGATATATTTCGTGATTTATCTACAGCATATAGTTAACTGCTTACTTCTAGGTTATTGCATTGTTTATCGAGTTATTGTTTGGTGAGCATTTATCAAATGAATTTCTTTATTTGACTTGTATGCTGCTCGTGAGTGTAGCCACTTAACAATCAACTTGGGACTCACTCCTAGAATTCGATGTTGGTGTGCGTGTACACGGAGGAATGCGTTCGCGCCCTTGAGTGCAATAGGATGAATGAACCAGAGTAAAACGTTTTTTTCACATAACTCGGCGCTTAGATGGCTAGTACAGATAGCCCTGGTAATCGTGCACATTCCAGCGTATTTGGATCGGTTTTGGGGATTTCAAAAAATGACCTTCAATGCTGTATTTTATTTACACGATGATCAATCAGTTCCCACTAAATGTATGGGGACTGCACACGAGATTGACTCGGAATAAACTTCAGTCAGTCAGTGCTATTGGCGTTCTTGTCTGCGGCTCACTGATTACTAGGCGGCGTTGGACACAAACAGATCTGGATGAGCGAAAGTGCCATTGAAACGGTCCCTTTCCCTTGTTTATACCTACTTAGTATCGGTGCTGGATAATTGAAAGAAGAGCTTGATGCACCGCATTGGATGTGGCTATTCTTATTCTTATAACAGTTCTTATGGGAGCTTCTGCTGCCGGTTAGCCTTAAAAAAAGACCGATAGGAATTTCTATCTTTTCAATCACACATACATTCACCTGAGGAATTTTTAATTACATTGAATTGAATGAAATAATCCCCATTGCTGTTGCTTTTGAGTACATCTGCGATAACAATGACCACTTTGTGCGATCGGGCTCTCTGACCTATCAAGGGAGATACTTTTTCGTTATCTGAAATAACGCATGTCATGTTCACCATTAGCGAATCCCATGATGATGAAATTATTGCATCATTGACCTTGTGTTTCACAGCTCCATCTATGCTACCATCTCGCCCAAACAAAATCTGTCATTGTTTTCTATCCAAATAATCGCAAATGATTACCTTGATCGTATGTCAATTCTTGCCTGTTTTTCACCCGTACAGAAACAACGTCATTCCCTGCTTTTAGTTCAGTATTTTTGAAACACTATTATCAGTAATAATCACATAAACTCGCTGTGAAATTGAGTATTCAATAGAAAACAAATACTCCTAAGTTGACGATATAAGGAAAGTCAATTTTCAGTTCCTAGCCTCTTTCATTCCGACAGTGGATTATCCGAAAGTTCAGCGATTTGATTGGACAATACTTCCAGAACAGATTGGCTTGGTATATTTTGGTATATAAAAGATCAGTCCAACAAACTGCGGACAGTGTGAACTTTCCCTACTTAGGACGTATCATATTTGTTGTCAGGTTTTACGCACTTTGTCCAAATTTGGAACCCTGATCCAGATTGTTCAGTTTGCTACAATAAACAAAACAAGGCTGTAAGCTCTTGCTACCTCGAACAAATTGACACAACCAATCGTGGAAATCCTGTCACCTGATCAAAGAGAAAACGGAACATTTCGTACTGAATTTCGGACACTTTAAGATTACACTAATCATGCCGTTGCACTTTGTGTGCCTCAAACACAATACGTAATTGACTGTTGAAAGTGCATCCCATTTGATGCATATAGGATTGTCCTCATGGCCAAACTATCAGAGAACAGGTTCTATCAGATTGAAAATGTGATCGATGGCTTGAAATCGGCAATTTTTTCTTTTAGTACACAAATGTATTGAAAAGAGCTGCGAATTTAATTTCGCATTGTTTTGCTTTTTTCCTGATCGCTCGTATGGCACACTCTTTTTTGCTTCACCACAGTTTTCTTGTGTGTCCCTCTTGATCTGCTACTTTGGTTTTGGGTTTTCAATGGTTGTATAAACTAACAATGAAAAACGTATTGGTTTTTGGTCACACACGGTCATGCATTATCAGATATTTTTAATTTTCATTCAAATTGGATCTGTTTAAACTCTGGCATGGAAATATGTCGTGCGTGTGCACAGAGAATAATACATTCTCACTTGAAAATTCTTTTTTATGTGTGATCCATTTAACTGTTAAATTCATGCATTAATCATATTTTAAAACAACAACTTAACATCACCAAAGTTTGCTGTGCAATTCGATACATTTTGGACTACAATGATGGTAGGCATAGCAGTTCCGTTCAGTTCACTTTTTGCGACCATTAAAGATGCATTTTAAAGCCCTGGTTTTGGTTTCTGTCTTTCGTGGTCCAGTTAGATAAAAGAGCAGAATGAAGACTGGTATGTTGAGAAGAGAGAATATATATGTATGTAAGGTATAGCAATAATAAAAATGATGAGAACAATAACGTTATGGCGCTCCAAACTTGGCAGTATGGCTTTTCGCAATAACATCCCTAATTTTTAACTTGAACTCCTTTGTGTATATGGTTAAAACACATATTTGGCAATTTGGGCAGATAAAATCCAAAATGCAACGGTGGCGAGAAATTGTAGCGCAGCCGTTCAAGGGGCGCGCGTCAA